GAGGAATCACCTGAGGAATCATCTGAGGAGCCATCTGAGGAGCCATCTGAGGAGGTACCTGAGAAAACATCTGCAGACTTATCTGCCACCTCCTTAGGGGACAGAACTGCAGAAACTGAATCAGCGGCCGATCCGCACTCAGCAGCAGCGGCTGTTGCAGCGTGCCCCAGCACGGCAGTGAATAGCAACCCCAGCAGCAGTACTCCAGTCGGCAGCACACCCATTAGCAGCACTACTGTTAGCAGCACACCTGTTAGCAGCACTCCCGTTAGCAGCACACCTGTTAGCAGCACTCCCGTTAGCAGCACACCTGTTAGCAGCACTCCCGTTAGCAGCACACCGGTTAGCAGCACTCCCGTTAGCACCACACCTGTTAGCAGCACACCTGTTAGCAGCGCAGCAGCGAGCACCCAGAGCTCGCCAGACACGTGGAGGTCAGACATGAGCGCTCAGAGCACCACCAGCAGCGCCAGCCGCATTGGCAGCAGCAGCAGCGGCACCAGCAGCTTTCCCACTGGTTGGCGCTTGCAGGCCTCACCTGTGACCCCTCTGCCGCATGCTCCCATTCTCCCTCCACCGGATCCTGCACACTCGCACTCGCACAGGCATGGGCACGGGGACGGGCATGGGCATGGCAGTGATGGCAGAGAGAGCGCAGTTGGCAACGGCTACAGCTATTCCCACCACCCACAAGCGCACTTCTCCCCTGCCGCGCCTGCAGCCACGCCCCCCTGGTTCCACCCTCCGTTCCCCACCGGGCATACCTTCTTCCCACCGCCCTTCCTCCAACCACTCCAGCCATTGCACCACCCTGGACACCCACACGCCTCTGAGGCCCCACGCATCGCCGCTGCTCCTCCCAACCCGAGCCCGAGCCCACCTGGCACGCATGCCTTTATCCCGGGTAGCCAGCCCAGGGGCGGTCAGTATGGGGGGCAGCATCACATGCGTGGGACCCACGAGGGGCAACAGCAGCAGCAGCAGCAGCGCTACCACCACCTCCACCACCATCATCCCATGCCCTACGACGCCCATCACGCCCCTGTGCCTGTGTTTCAGCAGCATTCCCTTGCTGCGCTCTCTCAAGCCCAATCTCCCCTTGTGCCTCACGGCGCGCCCTCCTCCAAGCCACAGCTCCAAGTCCAAGGCCCAGCCCCTGCTGTGTACCCCCCGGGCTTCTCAGGGATGCCGTACCCTTCACCTGGCAGCCTTTACCCCTCGCCTCATCCCACCTCCTTCCCCTTCCCCTCTGCTGCACCGCTGCTGTTCGCTTCAGGGCAGCCTCACGCGTCTGCCCATGACTCTGGCGTGCCCCCTCCTCCTTATGGTCATCCTCCACCAGCTGCAGTGCCTTCTGGCCAGTCTCCTCTCCCCTCATTCCCCCCCTCTCTCTCGGCCTCTCCTCTCTTCCCGGGCACACCCACTGCACCCGAGTCGCCTGCTTATGCTGCTTCCCCTGCTGCTGCCCCTGCCGCCCCTGCTGGGTTTCCCATGTACGCCTCTGCTGCACCAGCAACAGTGGGTGTGGGGTATCCTCCAATAGGAATCGCCGGAGCGGCAACGGGTTTGTTTCCTCCTGCCCGTCCCGGGCAGATGCTGATGAACTGGCAGGGGGCTATGGGACATGGCGGCGTGGGAGGGGGCGGAGTGGGAGAAAGGGGGGCCATGGGCGGAATGGGGATGGAAGCGGCAACAGGGGGGGGGAAAGCGATGGGAGTGGACAGCAGGCGGGGTGGGATGGAGAGATGGGGCGGTGGTGCAGTCATGGGTGGTAATCTGCAGTACCGACATGCCCATGGGCATGGGCATGGGCATGGGCATGTGTATGGCCATATCCACGTGCATGGTCATGCCCACAGGCATGGAGACTGGCAGCATGCCATGGGGGGCGATGAAGATGACATGGCAGAGGTGAGTTGATGGGGAATATGGGAGTAGCAATATCCAGTCTCCCTGCTTTGCCAGTGTCTGTTCCGTCGAAATCTCTCCCTCCCCCAACCCCCTCCACCTCTCTCTCGCCTTCCTCTCCCCCCCCTTTCACCCCTTCTCCCCAGTTCGCGTTTGTGGAGGAGGCGGCAGCAACAGTGGCCAGGAGGGAGGCAGCCCAGCTGGCTGCCACATCAGCGGAGAGGACACGTCAGCATGGAAGGACAGCTGGTGCTTCTGCAGCAGCAGCAGCAGCAGCAGCAGCAGCAGCAGGAGGGGAGAGTGCAGGTACGGGGAAGGCAGAGGGAGGGGCGGAGGTGCATCACACCCTGACATGCTTGACGGATCGAGCGCTGACAGACTCCACTCACTCGAAAAGCACAGGCCCTGCTGGTGTGGGCACGCTTAGGGTGGTGCCTCCCTCGAGTGTCAGCCTGGAGGAGAGCGAAGGGGAAGCGAAGGGAGAAGGCGAGCAGGACAGGCGAGTGGGGGTCGCTTTCCAGCAGGAGAAGCAGCAGAGTACGGCTCAGGTGGAATCTCAGGAGGATGGTCAGATGCTGGGTCAGGTGGCGGGGGTGGCATCGGGGCGGCGGGACGGCACACGGACAACAGTGATGGTGCGCAACATCCCGAACCGCTACAACCAGGCCATGCTGCTGGCGCTGCTGGACGCGCACTGCCTGCGTTGCAACTCCCAGTCGCAGCGCCGCACAGGGCGGGCCAGGAGTGGCAGTCATGTTGATGGTTCTGCTGCTGCTGCTGCTGCTGCCGGTGGTGGCACTGATGGAAATGGTAGTGATGGTGGGGGCCTAGATGGCAGTGATTCTGGCAGTGACAGCAGCAGCAGCAGCGGTGGTGGTGGTGGCGTGGCAGAGCAGTGCTGTGAGCCGCTCTCTGCTTATGACTTCGTGTACCTTCCAATCGATTTCAAGTGAGTGACTCTGCATGTAGTGAGTCTGCATGTGCCTGTGCCTGGTTGGAGCTCGGTTACATCCTCAGGGTCTGCTGTCCGCTGTCACTATTCACAAAAACACATCAGCGATGTAGATCAAGGCTCATGCGAATGGGCACTCTTCGTCCACCCTTACCTCTAACCCCTCCATCCACCACTGCTCACCACCGCTCTGCACTGCGCAGGAACCGGTGCAACCTTGGGTACGCATTTGTCAATTTGACAACGGTGACGGGGGCACTGCGGCTGTTCCGGGCGTTCCACCTGCAGCAGTGGGAGGCCTTCAACTCGCGGAAGGTCTGCCGCGTCTCGTACGCCCGCGTCCAGGTATGGCCCATAACTAAAAGTATGACATGCTTTTTCTTCCGATATTGCATGTGGCATGTGTCCGCCCATCCATAGTTCGTGGCTTCAATGCCAAGGAAACGAGACCCCAGCCTTGTTGTTGTTACCTTCTTTTGTTCTGACCGTTGGATGCACCTCTGGCTGCTTGCTGCAGGGCCGGGCAGCGCTGGAGGAGCATTTCCGCAACTCTCGCTTCGCATGCGACACGGAGGAGTTTCTCCCGCTCGTGTTCTCCCCTCCCCGCAACGGCATTGCCTGCCCTCCCCCAGTCCTTGCTGCCGGCCACATGGCAGGCCAGCAGGTAACACTGTCTGGTAACCAGCACCTTGCCCTCACATCCGACCCTAGGTCCCCTCACCGTGATGTTTTGAACCCAGGGCTGCTGCCTGGCATGGGTTTCAGAGCACATTCCTCTGCGACTAGTTCGGTTGTGACTTCAAGGAGTAGCTCTGCCATTCCTTCTAGGAGCAGTTCTACCATCCCCTCTAGGACTAGCTCTTCTATTTCCTCTAGGGCCGGTTCTCCACACTCAACTGGGTAGTAGTGTTTCACCGGAGATGCTTGAGAGTATTAGAGTGGCCCTAAGCCTCCTATTTATAATAATGCCTGACCAAAGCCAACTCGAATGGGAGGCCAATAGAATGGTAAACGTGACAATATTTTGAAATTACAAGTGCACTTCAATGAAGGTGCACTGTACTATTTTCACAATTGACCCCATTTATCTATCTCGACCTTCAGAGATTCCAGAATGCTGGAGCAACAGCCGTTCAAAGCTGGCGGAGGGTTCCCTTCCCTTCCTGCCTGCCTAGTCCAGAAAATCACCCGGTCGGATTGGAATGGAACTCTCGCGAATGGCGGAAGACCACTCAACATCTCCCGCGTGTACATCTGAAAAGATATGTCGTGAACTTTACCGTGTCGACCGTCAATCCCCGTCGAACCGTCAGTCCGCATGGAGCCAAGCGTCAGGTTCGCGCACCAACCACTGAGAACACACGCTGGCAAAAGCGCCTTCCGAGCATATTGTATCCTCCACGTGGAACATAACTTGAGGCTCACAATTTTCAGGGTTCACGAAATTGGCCCCGAGCGTTCGTTCCAGTCAGGCAAGGAAACACACCAGAGGCCTGGGAGTACAAACCACGGATCGCGATTGCCGAGGTGGCTAATCTGACGCTGCAAACTCAAGGACAAACCTGTCTCTTGGGAGAGCCTATCAACCATCCGCTTCCCGCGTGGCCCAGACTGCACGTTTTTTTTCCGAACCACCCCTGTGAACCCAGGCGAGGAGGCAATGTCGAATCTCATTCGCTGGTTTGTTTCCGAGCCACCTGCTAACATGACAAAGGGCAGCTCCTAATGCCTGTGATATGTCTCCAGTCGCTGCTGCTTCCGCACCTTCTGCGGCTCAGATTCCTCAGTGGAATCGATGGTGTACAGTGCAGGGCACGCCTAATGTCCCATCCATCCATCCATTTCCCATCCATGCCAACCAGCATGCAGATGGGTTGGGTTTGGGGGTCATGGGACCAGGGACCACTCCCTCCACGCGTCCTCGCATCCAACCAACCATCCCTCCCTGGTGACGTCCTCCCATACCCCCCCCACCTCACCCCACCACACCCTAACTTACCTTACCCCCTTACCTTACCCTACACCATCCGATTTCTCCCAACCTCCTTCTGTGCGGGCATCTTGATTCTTGACATTTTCCTGTCCGTCCTCCCAGGGAATAAAGCTAGGCCCAGGCACAGCGAGCTTCGTGGAGAGAGCAGTTAGAAGGCCACCCATACGCGGCCATTGCCATTGCCATTCCCACTGCCAATACCTGCGCAAGATAAAGAGCCTGGCACCGTGGCTTGATTGCTCAGTTGATTCTTTGTAGCTCCACTGTTCTTCCTTGAAACCCTTCCTTCTGCCCTTGGTAGGATCCCGTCCAAGAAATTTGATCTACTCGCTCATTGGTTCCCGTGTGGAAGTTCAATAGAGACTTAATTAGTCTACTTCGTTTTTCTTGAGCCCCCGCCATGGCTTGCCACCTTCAGAAACCGTTTGTCTTCGGGACTCACGAGTCGTGCCGATTCGTCACCCGACCTCTAGTTAATCGCGCTCTCAAATCGGCGCGTCGATCCTCCTCTCGCCAGCCATTCGCCGTCACCACTCGCAGCCAAGGTGACGCGCACTGCAACTCAACAGCCAATGAAATCGTGCCAGCAGAGCGCGCAATCCCTCTCATCCGCGCCACGTCAGCAACCCCGGCCGTGTCGGGGGCACAATGGGAGCAGCAGGCACTATTCGTGGACGGAAAGCGCAGCGCAGGTGCATCTCATTGGCGGAAGCAGGTGCGGGGATTCGTCGAGGAAGACGCCGCGCAACGCGGGACCGGCGGGGACCAGAGCGACGCGGATTCGAAGCGCGCCGAGCTCGAGGCAGGATGGCAGAGCGCTTCTGAGGGACTGATGCCGCCAATGACGGCGCCAAATGCGGCGCCAGGCCCGGCGATAAGCGGTGTTCCTAGCGACGAGTTCGCGTGCACGCTCGCCGGATGCACCACCATCCACAGCAACGTCGGATCCATGCGCAGACTCGGAAACCTCTCCGAAACTTCCTTCAGAGCGGCTCCACCGCAGCCCGCCGAATTGCGACCGGTGCAGAGCGGTGTCAAGGGGTTCAACCTGGGGCAGTTCCTGTCGCAGATGCTGCCGTACGTGGTGGTGGCGACGGCCGTGTCGGCGCTGTCATACCCGGCGACGTTCTCGTGGTTCAGCAAGCGGTACTACGCGCCGGCCCTGGGCGGCATCATGCTCTCCATCGGCGTGCAGCTGTCCGTCCAAGACTTCAAAGCCGCCATCGAAAAGTAAGCAACGATTTGGCTTGATTGAGTCTTTCCAGTGTGCCCCGGTCAGGCGTCTCATGTCCCATTCTCTCGCGCATCAGCCTCATTTCTCCTCCTCTCTCCTCCCGATCTTTCCATCCCCTACCCCAGGCCTATCCCCGTCCTCCTGGGTCTCCTAGTGCAGTACGCCGTCAAGCCGCTCATCGCGGCCGCCATAGCCGCCACCTTCCGCCTGCCCCCCGCCTTCGCCGCGGGCTTCCTCCTCACCGCCAGCGTGTCCGGCGCGCAGCTCTCCAGCTACGCGTCCTACCTGGCCAAGGCTGACGTGGCGCTCTGCATCGTGCTGACGAGCCTGAGCACCTTCGCCTCCGTGGCACTCACGCCCATCCTCACCTCGCTCCTGATCGGCTCCGCCGTCCCCGTGGACCTCCTCGCCATGTCAAAATCCATCCTCCAAGTCGTCATCCTCCCAGTCTCCCTCGGGCTTATCCTAAACACCTACGCGCGGAAATTCGTGGACCGGATTCGGCCCATCATGCCGCTGCTCGCCATAGTGTGCACGTCGCTCTGCATCGGCAGTCCCTTGGCCATCAACCGGTCGCAGATCATCAGCCTGAGCGGCGCCATGCTCCTCCCGCCCGTCCTCGCCTTCCACCTCGCGTCCTTCGCCGCCGGCTTCTGGACCGCGAAGCTTCCTGGAATGGGGCAGAGCGATGACGTGGCGAGGACGTTGTCGCTGTGTGGTGGCATGCAGAGCAGCACGCTGGCCATGCTGCTGGCGTCGCAGTTTCTTGGCTCCACCCACACTGTGCCCGCGTCGGTCTCTGTGGTGCTCATGTCTATTATAGGGCTCAGCCTTGGAAGCTTCTGGGGGTCCGGAAGGAAGCTTCTGGACTGGAACTTTGCTGGGGCGTTTGCTGGGCCTCAGGCGTTTGCTGCTCCTGCTGAGGCATAGACATGGCCCATGGGTTCTGCTGCCATGGTGAATGATAGCTGGTGCGACTGTGAAGGAAAGGTGTTTGGCAAGCATAGGAGAGTAGGGCTCAGCGCCTGCCAGCTAGTGGGTGGCCAGGCCATTGTTCACGCATGGGTCTGCTTGCAAACCTTGCAGCCATGTACATATAATCGGATTTAGTTCAATTCGATCTCATCTCATCTTCTACATTGGCTCTGCAAAGCATATTCTGTCTCAATGCTTTCTTGAAATGCCCAGAGTTCTTTCTGCAACAAGCATCAGCTTTGAGTTGACACAACAGTCTTACTGGGTGTTCGACGGCAGGAAGGACTCCGCTCATGTGACGACGTAGGCACAGCATGGTGCACGTCGGCCACTGCTAGCTCACCCGTGCACATGTTCTGTTCTGAGCCTATTCCACGCTTACAGTATCAGCCAAAGAAACACATCCCCTTCACAGCCGAGTGCATGCGAAGTCAAAGTCGTCGGGAGCGAGGCGAGTGAGCCAGTTGCTGAGGGTGCTCTTGGCGTTGAGCGTGTCGGACGCCGCCAGCTCGTACATGGAGCACAGGTTCAGCACCACTGTCTCGTCGACAGCTGTCAGCGGGCTCGCCTGCAATTGGTCCTCCAGCACCCGCACCGCCGTGGCAAGATCTCGGCCGTACATCAAGCAGAGGGCCTGCAGGGGGAGGAGGCAGGAGGGGTGTGACGGGCAAAGCTACTGTAGGTATGAGAACACTATTCAAAATTCTCAAAAAGAGAACACTGTATGTTGCACCTGCTTTCTGGAGTACCTAGCCTGGATGCTGCATCACGTAGCCCGGTTCCTGCATGCGTAGTCTGGCCTTATTATTGGCAGCAATGGGGTTTGTGGGGTGAGAACTGCTGCACCGCCATTGCAGCTGCACCGCCATTGCAGCTGCACCACCATTGCAGCTGCACCACCATTGCAGCTGCACCACCATTGCAGCTGCACCACCATTGCAGCTGCACCACCATTGCAGCTGCACCACCATTGCAGCTGCAATGCCTGCCCATACTGCTTGCATGCCAAGAGACTTGTGATTCTGCTGAAACACCTGATCACCGCATTATGTAGTCTTATTACCGCATCATGCAGTCTTATTACCACATCACCCTACCTTGTTGTTTGCAGCATTGAGGTTGGTGGGGTCCTCCTTGGTAACGGCAGTAAACAGCTGCAGCGCCTGCCTGTACTCCTTGCGAGCAAAGTGTTGTTTGAATCGACTCAAATCACATCCCCTCACCTTGTTATTTGCAGCAATGGGGTTGGTGGGGTCCTCCTTTGTAACGGCAGTGAACAGCTGCAGCGCCTGCCCGTACTCCTTGCGAGCAAAGTGCACGAGCGCCTTGTTGAGCCGCACCAGCCGCTTCATCTCCCCCAGATTCGCCGCCGTCACCTGCCCTGTCAACCCACTCCCATCCCTTCCAACCCCTGCTCCTCCTCCTCCTCCTCCACCTCCTCCTCCTCCTCCTCCTCCTCCCCACCCTCCCCCTTCCCCCTCCCCCCCTCCTCCCCCACGCTCCCCCTCACTCTCCAGCTCCACCTCGCGGTGCACCACCATCTTCTCCACCAATCCGAACGCAGCGTTCGCACCCTCCACGTCCCCCAGCTGCAGCCGCACCAGCCCGTACCGTGAGAGCAGGGCGGCGTTGCTCGGCTCGTAGCGCAGCAGGCGCTGCAGCCACTGCAGGGCGGTGGGGTAGTCTCGTTGGGCTAAGTGGTGCGAGACCAGCGAGTGCCGCACCGCCTGCCGCCTGCGTGCCCAGCAGGCAACTAGCGCTTCCTGGGATGACAACGACACTGCTGCTGCTGACGGTGTGCCCTTAGTGCTGGTGCTGGTGCTGGTGCTGGTGCTGGTGCTGGTGCTGGTGGTCATTGCTGTTGCAAGCTTGGCATGAGACGACATGCCCTCGCCGTCCTCAGGTCCCATCTCATCTGCCACGCCTTGTGTTGTCACTGCGCTCTTGCTCATGCTCATTCTGCTGCTGCTGCTGCTGCTGCTGCCGCTACCTGCAGGTGCTGCTCTCTCCTGTGCTTCCTGCCTGTCTGCGGCTATTCGGCCCTGCACTTCCTTCATCTGCCATCGATGGCATGGAGGGAAGGAGTAAGAGAGGTCGTGTGGCAACGATGGAGGGAAGAAGTAAGAGAGGTCGTGTGGCAATGATGGAGGGCCAGTCATCACAGTGCAGCGACGCAACAGAGTGCATTTCGCACTTCAAGAATCACCTCAACAGTATACCTCCAGCACCCACCTTGGCAGTGCAGTATGCCTGCAGCGCGCACAGCCTCTCCACGGTGAGGGCGGCATTGCCCATGCGGTGAGGGAGCTCCGCTGCCAGCCAACGGAGAGCAAAGGGCAGCATGGATCCTGCATGGGAGATGCAGCAAGTGAGGGGCACAGTACGGGGCAAGAGAGAGACAGCCGAATGTGAGTGCCAAACAGAGGGGTTGTGAAAGGTGCTGAGGCATCACACCGTTGCCCATGCGATTAGGCAACTCTGGTGCTAGTTAGGGCAGGGCGACCGGCGGCATGAAGCCTGGAGGGGGGAGGGAAGACAAGAGAGCCGGATGGGAGGAATAGGGATGTGAGGGAGAGGAGAGGAGGAGGGCAATCGAGACTCCGTTGCCCATGCGATGAGGCAAGTCTGCTGGTAGTTAGTGCAGGGCGACGGGTGACATGGAGGCTGGAGTTGAAGTGTAGAAAGTGTGAGGCAACGCAAGGCGCAAGAGAGATGCAAGAGAGAGAGACAAGAGAGAGACAAGAAGGGGGGCTGTGGAAGGAGCTGAGGTGAGGGATCTCTGCGAAGGGCAGCATGGAGCCTATTGGAGGAGAAGGGTGTGCGAGCAAAGAAGAGAAGAGAAGAGAAGAGAAGAGAAGAGAAGAGAAGAGAAGAGAAGAGAGGAGAAGAGAAGAGAAGAGAAGAGAAGAGAAGAGAGGAGAAGAGAGGAGAAGAGAGGAGGAGAGAAGGGAGGAGATGAGACGAGCAGCACACGTTACATGTCCAGGTATTGGAGCGAAAACCACAAAGTCACGTTACATGGGTGCATCGTGAAACGGTTGTTCGTTTCACCCAACAGCTCGACGAGAAGAGTCAACAGTTGGAAGGTAGTTTTGAGGCGCCTCAAAACTAGTCAACAGTTGGAAGGCATGGACCAGCATAACCAAGTGAGTGATAAGCAGTCTTATAAGATGTCATGGTGTGTATGGTTCTACCCAAAAAAATGATATCTCTTTCTGTTGTGCTTCGTGTTCCATACAGACGCTGCAAGCTCAAGTTGAGAAGTTTATGCAAAACGAGCAGGAGCACGTGGCTCAAAAGCAGAACGCTGAAGAAGAAGCTGAAAAGAATGCGAGAGAAATTGCTGAGATTAAAAGTGTAGTTGCGGGATTAAAGGACGCGTTGGACCCAATCACCTCACTCTATCCTCGCTGCACGAACAGGTGGTTGAGGATGTTGTCTGCAACGAGGATAGAGTGAGTTGATTGGATGCACACTCATCCTTCAATCCAGCAATCACACTCTTAATCTCAACAATTTCCCCCGCATTCTTTTAGTTTCTTCTTCAACGTTCTGCTTTTGGATCATGCGCTCCTGCTCGTTTTGCATGAACTTCTCAACTTCAGCTTGTAGCATTTGTATGGACCACAAAGCACAACAGAAAGAACAATGTCATTCATTTGGTCGGAATAAACACACTAAAACAACTTATAAGATTGCTTAACAGTCACTTGGATATGATGGACCATTGCTTCCGACTGTTGACTCTTCTCATCGAGTTGTTAAGTGAGACGGGCTACCGTTCACGATGCTCCCTCTGCAACCTTTCTTGGTTGCATGTCCGAGTGCGGAAACTCGACTCATATCAGTGTTGCGGCGAGTACAATGTGCCTTGCAAATGCCTTTGACTCACTAGGGCGCGCTCCTCCCACTAGAGCGTGCTCGCCTCATTAGGGCATGCTCATCTCACTAGAGCGCGCTCGTCTCAATAGAGCGCGCTCGTCTCACTAGAGCGCGCTCCTTCAATAGAGCGCGCGCGTCTCACGAGAGCGCGCTCGTCTCAATAGAGCCCGCTCGTCTCACTAGAGTGCGCTCGTCTCACTCCAACGTGGTCGTCTGACTAGGCTACGCTCGTCTCACACAGTCGTCTCACTTGAGCGTGATCGTCTCACTCTAGGACGGTCATCTCACTAGGGCGCGCTGGTCTCATTAGAGCGCGCTTGTCTCACTAGAGCGAACTCGTCTCACTAGAGCACGGTCGTCTCACTAGGACGTGGTCGTCTCACTAGGGCACGGTCATCTCACTTGGGCACGGTCATCTCACTTGGGCACGGTCATCTCACTTGGGCGCGGTTGTCTCACCAAAGCGCGGTCGTCTCACCAGAACACGCTCGTCTCACCAGAGCACGCTCGTCTCACCAGAGCACGCTCGTCTCACCAGAGCACGCTCGTCTCACTAGAGCAAGCTCGTCTCCCTAGGGCACGCTCGTCTCACTAGGGCGTGCCCGTCTCACTAGGGCGTGCTCGTCTCACTAGCGCGCGCTCGTCTCACTAGGGCACGCTCGTCTTACTAGGGTGTGCTCGTCTCACTAGAGTGCCCTCGCCTAGCCATGTATGTGTTGCGTGAATCGACCAACACTTGAGCTACTAGCGCTCACCTTTCCTGCCAGGGTACATGCCCGGGTGCGCCTCGTATCGGTACTGCGGCGAGTCGAGATTTCCCAATAGGGTGAGCTCCTCTGCAGCCGCGCCGTACATCCGCAGCTTCATCAGCGCGAGCACGTGGTAACCGCGTAACGCCAGCTGCTGTGCCAGCCCCGCCAGCTTGTACCCCTCCACCACCTTGTCCACTATGGCGCGCCACGAGCCCTGGCGCTGAGGGGTGTACGAGACGGAGAAGAAAGCAGCAAGGGGGGCGGGGCAGCGTGAACCTTCACTACCGGGGCTCGGGCAAGGGAGGGTCAGTATGAGCCTTCACAGCCAGGCTGTACCCCTCCATCACGGTACCACCTTGTCCACTATGGCTCGCCACGAGCCCTGGCGCTGGGGGGATGGATGGAAGGCAGGGATGAAGGAGAAGAATGAACGCAGAGACCAGGTTGAGCATGGGTGGGAGAGCGGCACGCAGAGAGTGCGGGTCAGAGCACGACAAGAGTGAGAGATTCGACCCTTCACCTGACACGCCGCCAATGCAGCTTCGGGCGAGTATGGCGTACAGCGAGTACGGCTTACAGCGAGTATGGCGTACAGCGAGTATGGCTTACAGCGAGTATGGCTTACAGCGAGTACGGGTTACAGCGAGTATGGCTTACAGCGAGTACGGCGAGGCCGTCGAGGGAGGTCTTGACGTCAAGGCTGGACATGCGGCGGAAGGCGACAGGCGGGGACGAGCGAGATGCAAATGCGCTGCTGCCGCTGCTGCTTGTGCTGATAGCAGTGGTTGTAGTGGTGGTGCTGCTGGTGGTGCTAATGCTAGTGGTGGTGGCAGTGGTGGCAGTGGTGGTGGTGCCGCTGCTAGTAGCCGAAGGTGCTCCTGTGCCCGCCATTAACGCCCCTCCCCCTGCAGTCACACCAGCTGGAGAGGTGACCCTCCCCCCTGCACCCCTCCCCCCCCCTGCTGCTGCCCCTGCTGCCCCCCCTGGCGCCCCCCCTGCTGCCCCCACTGCTTGCCCCCCTGCAGGCTTGGCAACGCCGGGGGGGCCTTGGGGCGGGGCTCTGTACCCGGGAGGGGGGTGAGTGGGGCGCGATAGTGGGTGTGAAGGGTGGGCGAGGGGGGGGTGTGAGAGAGGGGGGTGTGAGAGAGGGGGGTGTGCGAGAGGGTGTGAGAGAGGGTGGGGGAGTGATGGAGGAGGGTGGGACGGAGGGGGGTGGGAGGGTAGTGAGCGGGACGGGGGAGAGTGCGGTGGAGGGGGCTGAGATGGGGGTTGTGAGTGTGGGGGGTGTGACAGTGGGGGGTGTGACAGTGGGGGGTGTGACAGTGGGTGGGACACAGGAGGCGGGGAAGAAAGCGGACCCCTTATTGGCGCTGGCGCTGGCGCGCGCAAGGGGGGATGGAAGCTACCGGTGGGAGGCGGAGGGGTGGGTGATTTTCTCTGATGTGACTCAAACGCGTGGGGTGCGGACGCGTGGGGCGCGGAGGGGCGGAGGGGGGAGGAGTGAGAATACGACATCATGTGCGCGGAGAAGCCGCTCGGATGGTGTGCGCCTTGTCGCTGACTCGAGTCGTGCTTATAATGAGGATCGGATTCGTGCTTATAATGAGGATCAGATGCATGGCGCGGATCGGATTTCGTTGGAATTCCGGGCTGATGCGGCCCTCCTTCAGTCATAGGCGACGAGTGGTAACCAGCTTGAACGCCTGGTAACCTCGATTGATCAAACCCTAATCCGCCTCCCCCAGGTGTAGCTACTGGTGCCGCTACAGCTGCGCTTGCTGTGATTCCCGTGCCCGCGGCAGCAGCGGCAGCAGCGGAAGCAGGCGGAGCGGAAAGCGGAGGAGGGGGAGGCGCATGGTCTGTTCCGCCCCCCGCGCCTCCGCCGTGCACTTGCGCTCCCGCGTTCCCCCCCGAATCCTGCTCCCCCTCACCCCCCAACGCCTGCAAGTCTCCGCTTCCCCCCAGCGCCTGCACCTCCCCCCAGAAGTCCATCCCCGCATCCGCGCCCGCCTGGTTTTCCGCCTCCCCCCAGAACGAGTTGCTATCTTGCGCGGACTTCCCGCTTGGCACCAATCCCGGATCCGCCGACGTTGTTTTCGTCCCCGTCTGACTCGCCGTCGATGCCGGATCTAACGGCTCTGCGGCATCCGTCGCCTGCGCCGGCGGTGCCGCCGCAGATGACGACGCGTGCTGCGCTGATACGAAGCCGCTGGCTCCGCCCGCTTGGAAATCCCCCCAGTCGCCCTCCATCTGTGGAGGCAGATTCCGAGGACACTATATCTATCGAGTATGTAATAACACGATAGGAGACTCGTCAGTGTGACAATGTTTCTGCTACGATGAGACTCGGCTGAAAAAAGAGAGTGATGATGGGGGAAGGTCAATTGCCTGGAATGATGTTGTCGAGATCCTCTTTACAGGTGCCGTTCGACAAAACCAAATGTGGGTTTGTAACAAAACCGTGACCATTGTTGTAAGGAATTTTATTCCTTACCGGGTTGTACTGCAATCGCGTACACCCGAACTCTCGGCAGACCAGGCTCGGTCCGTTTCTGACGCAGCCCCGAGGCACGCCCGCGCCGCCTCCGACCCTTTCGACCGCGCCTGTACCCAACCTAGCCCTCCGGGCTCGTCGCCTAGCTAGAGCACTCGCTATATAATGCTAGGCTATCCTTCTTGTACTCGTCATTATTATTCCGCGCACTCTGAGTTATTATTCATAACATCTGGTATCAGAGCTACTTTCCTGGTTCACCCCGCTTTCTCAGGGTAGTTTATTTCCAAGGCGTGGTTAACCCTGCGGGGCTGCACAGCGGTTGTCCGTGAGCTAGAGTTATTAGCTCACACAACTACGATAGCGTTTGCGCCCCCTACGGTTTCTTACCACGGCCTTCCCCCTGCCCGAAAGGCGTAGCATTCGCATCATGTCCCAGGCCCAGCTAGACGAGGTCATGGCTCAGATGCAGGCAATGCAAGCCCAGATGGCGAGTTTGAACAGTGAAGTCGTGAGACTTCGGACGGAGAACACCGAGCTTCGCCAGACGCGTGGTGAAGCGCGTCAGGAGTCGCCTGGAGTCGCCGAAGACGAGGTCAAGCAAAGTGCCGACGACGCAGCGAGCGAAACCGTCCTTGACGAGCTCGCACGGGAGTTGGAGCAGGACGACGTGCGTACTGTGACCGTAACGAAGATTAAACTCAAGCCAGCAACACCGCCCCCGTTCAACCCTTCGGACAAGGCGACGACGGTGCAAGGGTGGCTGTTCAGCATGGAGCTGTTCTTCACGGCGGCAAGTGTGCACACCGATGATGCGCGCATTAATTATACCGTATCGCTGCTCCGAGGACCGGCGTTGGATTGGTGGCGACGACAGTTGGCGATTGGGACTCCGGCAGGAGTGAAGCAGGCGAAGGACGGGACTTCGGACTCTTCAAACCAACAGGCAGAAACAATATTCGGTACGACCACGATTCGCACGTGGAAACAGTGGGGCACAGCTCTGCGAGCTCGTTTTGAGCATTCATCCGCCTCAGACGACGCTCGTATGAAGCTGCGCAACTGGCGGCAGGTGACTACTGTTCAAGATTACACTGCGTCGTTCTCGGCACTTGCGGACCAAGTCGACGACCTCAGCGAAGCGGAAAGACGGGACAAATACGTTAGCGGGCTGCATTTCGATATTCAATACGAGTTGCAGCGGTCCCGTCCCAAGACGTTCGATGAAGCCGTCCAGCTGGCGTCAGCAGCCGATGCATTGCAGCAGTGGGCGAGAAAGAACAACATGGATGTTGGTCGTTTTCGTGGACAGTCTCCCCGCCCCACGATCAATGGCGTGTCAGCGCCCGATGAAATATTTCACGGGCTATGTTTTCGATGTGACAAGCCAGGTCACCGAGCTAAGTACTGCCCGACAGCGCCAAAGAAGACGAAGAACGACAAGGAGAAGCCGGGAAATGGGAAAAGTCAGTAGCAGACGGGCCCCCTACTGACGAGGCTTTGTCGCCCGAACTTCAGCGTTCCCACCAAGTTGTGGTACCGATACACGCTATCGACCGCACTCGGACGAATAACGGGAGCGAACCTGAAGATCACCCTGTGCTGGTAGAAGGCAAGGTTAACGGCAAAAAAATAAAGTTATTTGTGGATCGCGGAGCTAGTCACAGTCTCATACACGTGACAACAGCGAAGCAGTTGAAGCTGACGTTGGAAAAATGTCTTCCCGAAATCGACGCGCGACTGGTGGACGGAACTCCACTTGCAATTAGAGAACGAGCGCGCATGGTGCGGATGAAGTGTGGCGACGACTTCGGATTCAGCATGCCCATGCTGGCCACGACGCTGGACGGCTGCGACATTCTGCTTGGGCGTGATTGGCTGCGAAAATACAATCCGAGGATCGACTGGACAACTGGCGAATGCAGCGTACACTGTGCGAACGGGTGGCGCGTACTTCCGAGCTGGCGTGGGAGAGATCCGGTGTCGACACGTGTCAACGCCATCACCTTCCAGCGAGCGGTTAAAAAAGGAGCTGACTTGTACGCCGTCCACCTGGCCGACGCGACGGTCGACGACACGCCAAAGGACATTGACACACTTTGTGCCAGTGTCCCTGCCGAGCTCGCCGCGCTGATTCGACAGTACTCGGATATTTTTCCGGACGATCTGCCAGCAGGATTGCCACCCGAGCGCCCCCAGGACCACAAAATTGACCTGGAACCCGGCGCGCAGCCTACAGTCAGGACCCAGTGGCGGCTGACTCAGCCGGAGCTCACGGAGTTGCGCAGCCAACTGGACTACCTCTTGGAGAAGGGGTTCATTCGGCCTAGCACCTCCCCGTTCGCAGCACCCATCCTGTTCACGCCCAAAAAAGACGGCGGGCTGCGAATGTGCATCGACTACAGGGCGCTAAATCGACGAACAATCAAGTCCCGCTACCCAATCCCACGCGCGGACGATCTTCTCGATCAACTTCGCGGAGCTCGCTTCTTCTCGAAAATCGACTTACGCGGTGGTTACCATCAGATCCGAGTCTTCGCTGACGACTGCCACAAGACGGCGTTCCGAACCCGCTATGGCAGCTACGAGTACACAGTGATGCCGTTTGGCCTCACGAACGCGCCCTCCACTTTCCAACTCACCATGAACGGCGTATTCCGAGACCTGCTCGACAAGTGTGTCATCGTCTATCTTGATGACATTCTGATCTACAGCAAGACACAGGAACAGCACCTCAAGGACCTTGAGCAAGTTTTCCGGCGGCTGCAAGAAAACCAGCTCATCACGAAGGGCTCCAAGTGCGAGTTCCTAAAATCCGAACTGGAATTTTTGGGACATGTCGTGGGAGCGGACGGCATAAAAATCGACCCGCAAAAAATCACAGCGATTCGCGACTGGAAGCCGCCGACGAATTTACAGGAGTTGCAGAGTTTTCTCGGGTTCGTTAATTATGTCCGACGGTTTATCCCCAATATGGCAGGGATAACCGGACTGTTAACTGACCTGCTGCGGAAGGGCACTTTGTTTGAATGGGGGGAGAGACAGCAGACTGCTTTCGATGAACTGCGAAATTCGCTGACGTCGCCCCCGGTCCTCCGAATCGCCGACCCATCTCGACCATTCGAAGTCTTGACGGACGCTAGCGATTTCGCCATCGGTGCGATACTGTTACAAGATTTCGGCGACGGACTCCAACCCATCGCGTATGAGTCTCGGAAGTTGCAGGCAGCCGAGCGCAACTACCCCGTCCACGACAAAGAAATGCTCGCCATCGTGCACGCATTCAAGGTGTGGCGATGCTACTTGACGGGAGCCGACGTGACAGTACGGACAGACCATAAATCCCTACAGTACCTCCGCGCGCAGCCGAATCTAAATCCACGGCAGATTCGCTGGCTGGACTTCCTCGAAAGCAACTTCCACTACACCATCACGTACAAACGGGGAGCGAATAACATCGCTGACGCGCTAACAAGACCATCCGCCCACCTCGCCTCAATCATCGTCGCAAAATCCAACCCGCTGCTCACTGGCCTATTTACCCACGGCTATACCACAGACCTCTTTTTCACTTGCAACCACCACCAACAAGCCACCACAGCCAAAGGACCCTACTTTCTAAAAGCCGGTACTGACCGCATCTGGGTTCCCGCCTACAAACTCCTCCGCGAATTACTTATTCAAGAAGTCCACGATTCTAACCTCTCCGGTCATTTTGGGGTTGATAAAACCCAGAAGTTACTTCACCGTTTTTATTATTGGCCTGATTCGGCGCCTGATGTGCAGAGATACGTATCCGCGTGCCCGATCTGCCAACGAATGAAGTCTTCCCGACGGCGGCCAGCTGGACTGCTGCAACCGCTCGAGCCACCCCAGCGACCATGGCAACATGTGACGATGGACTTTGTCACGGGGCTCCCAGCCGCCGCCACGAGCAACGACGCCGTCCTGGTCGTCGTCGATCGTCTGACGAAGATGGCACACTTCGCACCCTGTCGCACAACAATCACAGCCGAAGATACAGCGAAGCTTTTCATCTCCACCGTTGTTCGCCTGCACGGCATACCCTCAGCGATCATCAGCGACCGCGACCCAAAATTTACGTCCAAGTTCTGGCATGAGACATGGGGGCAATACGGCACACGCCTCCAGTTTTCCTCCGCCTACCATCCTCAAACCGACGGACAGACAGAGCGAACCAATCAAATTATGGAGCAGCTGATACGCACCAACTGCCCGGATCCTGCCCGGTGGGAAGAATTCCTGCCCATGCTGGAATTTTCGTACAACAATGCCCCATCCGCCACGACTAATCACTCGTCGTTTTTTCTAAACTACGGCATGGATCCGACAGTCCCGACGACTACCAACATCGACAACCCAGTGCCACGTTCCCAGCAGTTCGTGAACAGTTTGCAGGCGGCCCGCGAAAAAGCGATCGAATTCATTCGCAAGTCCAACACAACCGCCCGCCGCTACACAGATCTTCATCGCCGCGATATCACCATGGCTGCAGGGCAACTAGTCCTTCTCGACACAAAGAACCTTAGCCTGCCCCTGCCTTCAAAACTTCGCCCGCGATTCTGTGCACCTTTTCGTATTGTCAAGATGGTGACACCTGTCACAGCGAAATTATTACTTCCGGACGAGTGGCGCATTCACGACACCTTCCACGTCAGCCTGCTTCGTCCCTACGTCGCCAGCACGTCTGCAGTCGCACGCCCAGCGGCCGCCCCAAGTGTCCGCCCGATGGCTGAACCGACACTTGAGCCTTTCCGGCTTTTGAGTCATCGCGTCCGCCTCGACTCCACTGGTCGCCACGTGGATTTTCTTGTCCGCTGGGTTGACCGTACAAGCGAAGACGACACCTGGGTCCCTTCCGACTCGCTTCAAGAACACTCGGTGCTCAAATCTTATTTGACCCGAAAAGGCGTTCCCGATGTTGATCACCTTCCTTAGGGGGGGGGGTAGTGTAAGGAATTTTATTCCTTACCGGGTTGTACTGCAATCGCGTACACCTGAACTCTCGGCAGACCAGGCTCGGTCCGTTTCTGACGCGGCCCCGAGGCACGCCCGCGCCGCCTCCGACCCTTTCGACCGCGCCTGTACCCAACCTAGCCCTCCGGGCTCGTCGGCTAGCTAGAGCGCTCGCTATATAATGCTAGGCTATCCTTCTTGTACTCGTCATTATTATTCCGCGCACTCTGAGTTATTATTCATAACAATTGTCACTTTACAGAAACATTGTCACATGACGAGTCTCCTATCGTCACTTACATAAACATTGTGACAATGTTTATTGTCACTTACAGAAACATTGTCAGTGTGACAATGTTTCTTGTATGCGAAGGCATTTACCTTCCCTACAACCAATTTCGCCGAAATAAAATGCCTTCGCATACAAGCAATATAGCGGATATATTGCTGCAGGCTGTCGTGGAACCCAGCCAACCCCGGCTACTTCTCCCTCCCCCACAAACGGATACAGTATTCAAAGCTATTTAAACATGCAAACAAATTCTTACTCCAAAAATACAAATGCTGCTGCTTCTAGGGGGAAATTTTCTCACTGCACTGATAGCATCCTGTCCCTTGTTGACCATTCCGCCAGAACCGCTACCTTATAACGGATCCCACATCCGCGCAACCTATCAAGTTCGAGAATGGCTTCCGCCATCGCGTCCGCGGCTTCTGCCACTGCTCCCTCCGCGGACTTGACGCGCGCGCATTTGCGCGCAACTGGTGCCGCGCACGAGCGGTCCCCGCGGGTTAGCTCTCTCGGAAGCATCGAATTTGGTCGTTCCGGCGACTTTCAACGCGGTAGCGGTAGCAGGAAGAACTTAAGTCGCAGCAGCAGCGGCCTCAGCGCGCGTCGGCAGAGACACTCGCAGCGGCGATGCGTGGCAGCGGCAGCAGCAGCGGACTCGACAGGCGTGGAGTGGGACGATCAGGGGCCGTCCGATGTGAATCCGACGGACCTGAGTGAGAGTGAAGAGGAGCGGGGGAGGGAGGGGGGGTGGAGGGGAGGGAGGAGCGAGGAGGAGAAGGCTCAGAGCGACAGCCGACAGAAGATATTCAATAACATTGCTCCGATGTATGATAATGTGAGTGCCATTCTGAATAATTTCTTACATTTCCATGTTACTGGGGAGCTCCGGGAAGCAAGCTGCGCTTTTTCATCCCTATTTTTCTCTCTCCTCCTTCGCCATCCGCACATTCTTCCCCACCTCCACCTCCTCCATTCCCCCTTCCCCTCTCAACCCCCCCCCCTCCCCCGCCTTCCCCCTGTTCTCCTCTGTGCGCTTTCCCCCTCCTGCCCTCTCTTCCTCCCAACCAACCCGCCCTTTCCCCTGCATGCCACGTGCAGCTCAACGATTGGCTGAGTCTGGGGCAGCACCGTGTGTGGAAGCGAATGACAGTTGGTTGGAGCAGGTGGGGTTTGGGGGGGGGGGGGGGAGGGGGAAGAGGATGAGCCATGGCCATGGGTGTGGTTCGCCTAGATGAGCATTCCTGATGGGCTCCGGCCTGTGTTGCCATTGCTTGCGAGTAGCATTTTTCCTCCTCCTCAACCCCGTCCTACTCCCCTACCCCTCCCACCGCCAGAGTGCGCCCTGGGGACACTGCTCTGGACCCATTACACACGCCCCGGGGACACTGCTCTGGACCCATTACACACGCCCCGGGGACACTGCTCTGCACGACTGCTGCGGCAGCGCCGACCCCGCTTCTGCCTCCAATCCCTGTCGGCTGCTTCCCTCCTCCCCCTCTTATCCCCCCCCCCCCCCCTCCCTCCCCCCGAGCGCGTCCCGGGGACACTGCTCTGGACGTCTGCTGCGGCAGCGGCGACCTCTCCTTTCTGCTGGCACAGAAGGTGGGCCCCACTGGCCGGGTCACTTGGCTGGACTGCCCACTGCAACACTTCCCTCCTCCCCCCGCTCCATCCCTCCCAGAGCCTCTCTCGGTGACACCCCACTGGGTATCTGCTGCAGCACGGCGACCTCTGCCCCTTGCTCACTCCTTACTACTTCCCCCTCCCCTCCGCCCCATCCCTTCAGGGCCCGTCCAGGCGATAGCGTTCTAGACATCTGCTGTGGCAGCGGCGACCTCTCCTTCCTGCTTGCAGAGAAGGTGGGCCCCACCGGGCGGGTCACCGGGCTGGACTTCGCCGCCCAGCAGCTCGTAGTCGCCGCCCAGAAGCAGCAAGAGAGCTACTCGGCGCGCAGGGTGGACATGAGGTGAGGGGGAGGGAGAGGAAGGGAGGTGAGCCACTCAGTACCAAGGTGGGGTGGTGTTTGAGTCGACTCCAGAATCATCTACTCCGCGCGCAGGGTGGACATGAGGTGAGGGGAAGCAGAGGGAGAGCTGTATGTAAGGCTCGTTGGGGAGACATGAGGTGAGGGAAAGAGAGGAGTGAGGGCTATCCCACAGCAGCTCACCCATTCACCCATTCACCCACTCACCTACTCACCCATTCGCCCACTGACCCATTCACCCATTCACCCACTCACCCATTCACCCACTGACCCCCTCCCCCGCTCACCAGGTGGATCGAGGGCGACGCTCTTGACCTGCCCTTCCCCGCCGCCACCTTCGACGCCGTCACCATGGGTTATGGGCTCAGGAACGTCACCAGCATTCGGCGCGCGCTGGAGGAGATTCGGCGCGTGCTCAAGGATGGTTAGTGAGCGAGTGGGATGGCAGGGTTGAGCGCTGAGGTCTGGAAGTGCGTCCCCAAGAGCGCTGGCGAGTGTTGGGAGATTCGGTGGGTGGGAGGGAGGGAGGGACACGCTGCGGTGCTTGGATGCCGTGGAGTGCGTCCAGTATGGTGCCATCCAAGCTCCATATTCTTGTGAAGACTGACCAAACCGAATGCTGTATTCAGGCAATCTTAAGGTGAGGTACAGGGGACAAAATTCTCTGCACGCTCCTCCCTTCACCAATTTTCTTCCTACGAGTGCGTCTGCCCACCTGCAGGTAGCTCCGCAGCCATTCTGGACTTCAACCACACGGAGGACCCTCTTGTGGCTGCATTCCAGGAGTTTGCCCTGCAGGGGGCGGTGGTGCCAGTGGCTCGTCTGTTCGGCCTGTCAGAGGAGTACGAGTACCTGCTTCCCTCCATCCGCCGCTTCCCCACAGGTGAGCCTGCCCCACAGATAACACCTCCCCCTCAGGTAATACGTGTCAGAGGAGTACGAGTACCCGCTTCCCTCCATCCGCCGCTTCCCCACAGGTGAGCCTGCTTGCTGCAAACGCTCTCACAAGTGACAGATAACACCTCCCTCCAGGTAGTACCTCTCAGAGGATTACGAGTACCTGCTGTCCTCCATCGGACGCTTCCCCACAGGTGAGCCTGTTGCACAGATAACACCTGCCCCACACATTCTGGTAGGTCACTGTCAACGCATCCCCTTCGTGCAGTAGCATTTCCCAGAGGAGTATGAGCACCTGCTTCCTTACATACCCATTTCCGGTGCTGTGCTGGGCATGTCTACATTCATTCTCATGCGCTTCTTCTCATGCCATGTGTTGCTCCCATGCCATGTGTTGCTCCCATGCCATGTGCTGCTCCCATGCCATGTGCTGCTCCCATGCCTGCACATGTGTGTGGCAGGGCGGCAGCAGGAGCAGCTGGGAAGGGATGCTGGCTTCTCCAAGGCAGTGCATTATGAGATCGGAGGGGGGCTCATGGGCGTGCTTGTGCTGCAGAAATGATTGGTTTAGATACCAAGGGGCAAGTCCAGCAGAGGGCTACGATGTACAAGAGATTATGTTTATGACCAACGTGTACACGAGAGAAATCACTACTGTGGCGTGACCCATCCCTTTATTGTGTCATCGCACTGCATGCGGCTACAATCACACTGCACACTCCACCATTGGCTGTCCATACAACCCCCTAGCTGAATCCCCACACGGGCACTGGTGGTGCCTCTTATTCGCCATGCGACCAGCCCTGCGACTCTCTGCGAAAGCAGCTAGCAGGAGGTTCACACACGGCCAGGGGATGACTCGGGGGAGGATGAGGAGCGGATGGAGTGAGCTGAGAGTGTGCTGCTGCGCCGCTTATTGTGTGCGCGATGTGCTGGGAGGGTGACTCCGTCCAGGGTGACTCCGTCCAAGGTAATTTGCGATTATATCCCTTCGCAGGGCCGTACGTGTGTCGCCTGTCTCCTTTCGCCGCGCTTTATTGCTCTTCGAGTCATGGTGGGGGCTGGCGCTGACCCACAGCGGATCCTCGATACAGGAGGTCTCGCTGTAAGGCAGAAGCCCGGCGCTTATTGGTCGACTCGAAGAAGGGGGGGGAGCAGAGACCATTCTCTTCCTGCTCCCAGCGCTGCTTGTAGACAGGTGGCGCGCTGACATTGGAGGATGCTGCCGAATCGCCGGGATTCGGCGCGGCAGCTTCTCTTGTATTGCCGGCGCCCACGCTTATTCGAATTGGACGGCCCTTGGAGTTGGGCGCGCACCGTGACAGCGACGGTGCGGGGCATTCGCACTTTATTCGCGAATGAGTTATTCGCTCCATTTGGGATGGTGGCGGAGGCAACGCGCGGTCGCGTTGAGGTGTTCCGCGACAGGTCCAGTTTCAGAACGCCGAACGCCAGTGCAGTCGCGCTTATGCGCACCATTGACACGGTGGCGGCCAGGAAGCAGCGCGGTCGCGTATGAGTAGCAATGACCCATCCGTCGAGCGCGGGCGATCGCCAGCCGTGGAACGCGGAGTGTGCAACCACATGTGCGATCCGCTTCTTTGTAGCGCCACGTGTTGCCTCGGACCGGCTTCTGCCTCTGCCATGTCTGTTCTGCCCCCCCGTGCTGACTCTTGAGTCGACTCAAAAGTCACCTCTCTGATCTGCCTCCCGTTCTCGAACGCGCTGAATGCTGGTTTGCTGGTTTCGCTTTGCTGAAGCAGTGCGCCGAGAATAAAGTTCTGTGAATCCATGGCGGAATAATAAAGGGCAGACCCGCCTAGGTCACAGCAGCCGCGAGTACGAGCCAGTCGCTTCGCTCCAGCGACGAGCCTCGCCAGGGATGCAGCATTCTCGCCGCACACAATGGACTGGAGAGGAGAGTCAAACACGCTTCTTGGAAGCTCACGAATTCTCGTCCAGGGTGCTTCGACTGCAATGACATGCCTCCCGGAAATCAACAAAACCTATTTATCCCTTCACATTCAGACCTCTTTTGCGCCCCTCTTGGGGCAGTGAGCATGTGGGGAGGGCATATGGTTGCCTGCCTGGCTGGGTGTGTGGTGTGGAGTCAAATGAGCTGGTTGGGCAACGATGCGATGATCTGGGCCGTCCGAGAGTGAGAGTGAGGGTGCAGCAGGTCACACTGGAGGGGTGGGTGAGGTAGGCGACTCGAGGAGGTTTCACATGCGACGCGGCATGTGTGGGTTGCGCCAGGAGTCTCCTTGCGCCAATCTGGCATTCCAGAGGTCAGGTGTGGGGGGGTTGCTCCAAATCAGCTGGAGGTTGCACCAGAGGGCATTTGTAAGGAATTTTATTCCTTACTCGGTTGTACTGCAATCGCGTAAACCCTAAATCTCGGAAGACCAGGCTCGGTCTGTCTCCTACGGGACCCGAGGCGAGCCCGCGCCGCCTCTGAACCTTTCGACCGCACCTTTACCCAACCAACCCCTCCGGACTCGTCGCCTAGCTAGAGTCCTCGCTATATAATGCTAGGCTAGCATTCTTGTACTCGTCATTATTATTCCGCGCACTCTGAGTTATTATTCATAACATCTGGTATCAGAACCACTTTCCTGGTTCACCCCGCTTTCTCGGGGTAGTTTATTTCTAAGGTGTGGTTAACCCTGCGGGGCTGCAAAGCGGTTGTCCGTGAGCTAGAGTTATTAGCTCACACAACTACGATAGTGTTTGCGCCCCCTGCGGTTTCTTACCACGGCCTTCCCCCTGCCCGAAAGGCGTAGCATCCGCATCATGTCTCAGGCCCGGCTAGACGAGGTCGTGGCTCAGATGCAGGCAATGCAAGCCCAGATGGCGAGTTTGAACATTGAAGTTGTGAGACTTCGGACGGAGAACAACGAGCTTCGCCAGACGCGTGGTGAAGCGTGTCAGGAGTCGCCTGGAGTCGCAGAGGACAATGTCAAGTTAGAAGCCGACGACGCAGCGAGCGAGACAGTCCTTGACGAGCTCACACGGGAGTTGGAGCAGGACGACGTGCGCACGGTGACCGTGACGAAGATTAAACTCAAGCCAGCCACACCGCCCCCGTTCAACCCCTCGGATAAGGCGACGACGGTGCAAGGGTGGTTGTTCAGCATGGAGTTGTTCTTCACGGCGGCAAGTGTGCATACAGACAACACGCGTATAAATTATGCCGTGTCGCTGCTCCGAGGACCGGCGTTGGATTGGTGGCGACGATAGTTGGCGATCGGGACTTCGGCAGGAGTGAAGCAAGCGAAGGACGGGACTTCGGATTCTTCAAACCAACAGGCATAAACGATATTCGGGACGACCACGATTCGCACGTGGAAACAGTGGGGCATAGCTCTACGAGCACTCATCCGCCTCAGACGACGCTCGCATGAAGCTGCGCAACTGGCGGCAGATAACTACTGTTCAAGATTAGACAGCGTCGTTCTCGGCACTTGGGGACCAAGTGGACGACCTCAGCGAAGCGGAAAGGCGGGACAAATACATCAGCGGGCTGCATTTCGAGATTCAGTGCGAGTTGCAGCGGTCCAGTCTCAAGACGTTCGATGATGCTGTCCAGCTGGCGTCAGCAACCGATGCACTGCAGCAGTGAGCGAGAAAGAACAACAGTCTCCCCGCCCCACGATCAATGGCGTGTCAGCGCCCGATGAAACATTTCACGGGCTATGCTATCGATGTGACAAGCCAGGTCACCGAGCTAAGTATTGCCCGACGGCGCCCAAGAAGACGAAGAACGACAAGGAGAAGCCGGGAAATGGGGAAAGTCAGTAGCAGACGGGCCCCGTAATGACGAGGCTTTGTCGCCCGAACTTCAACGCTACCACCAAGTGGTGGTACCGATACATGCTATCGACCACACTCGGATGAATAACGGGGGCGAACCTGAAGATCACCCTGTACTGGTCGAAGGCAAGCTGAACGGCAAAAAAATAAAGTTATTTGCGGATGGCGGGGCTAGTCACAGTCTCATCCACGTGACAACAGCGAAGCAGTTGAAGCTGACGTCGGAGAGATGTCTATCCGAAATCGACGCGCGACCGGTGGACGGAACCCCACTTGCAATACGGGAATGAGCGCGCATGGTGCGGATGAAGTGTGGCGACGATTTCGGATTCAGCATGCCCATGCTAGCGACGACGCTGGACGTCTGCGATATTCCTCTCGGACGTGATTGGCTGCAAAAATACAACCAACGGATCGATTGGACAACTGGCGAATGCAGCGTGCACTGTGCGAATGGTTGGCGCGTACTTCCGTGCTCGCATGGGAAAGATCCGGTGTCGACACGTGTCAACACCGTCACCCTCCAGCGGACAGTTAAACGGGGAGCTGATTTGTACACCATCCATCTGGCCAAAGCGACGGTCGAGGACACGCCAAAAGACATTGACACACTTTGTGCTAGCGTCCCTGCCGAGCTCTCTGTGCTGATTCGACAGTACCCATATATTTTTCCGGATGATCTGCCAGCGGGATTGCCACCCGAGCGCCCCCAGGACCACAAAATCGATCTGGAACCCGGCGCGCAGCCAACCGTCAGAACCCAGTGGTGGCTGACTCAGCCCGAGCTCACGGAGTTGAGGAGCCAGTTGGACTACCTATTGGAGAAAGGGTTCATTCGACCCAGCACGTCCCCGTTCGCAGCGCCGATCTAGTTCACGCCCAAAAAACACGGAGGGCTGCAAATGTGCATAGACTACCGGGCGCTGAATCGGCGAACCATCAAGTCTCACTACCCAATCCCACGCGCGAACGACCTTCTCGATCAACTTCGCGGGGCTCGCTTCTTCTCGAAAATTGACTTACGCGGCGGTTACCATCAGATCCGAGTCTTCGCTGACGACTGCCACAAGACGGCGTTCCGAACCCGCTATGGCAGCTACGAGTACACAGTGATGCCGTTTGGCCTCACGAATGCGCCCTCCACGTTCCAACTCACCATGAACGGCGTATTTCGCGATATACTCGACAAGTGTGTCATCGTCTATGTCGATGACATTTTGATCTTCAGCAAGACAAGCGAACAGCACCTCAAAGACCTCGCGCAGGTTTTATGACGACTGCAAGACAACCGGCTCATCACGAAAGGCTCTAAGTGCGAGTTCCTAAAATCCGAACTGGAATTTTTGGGACACGTCGTGGGAGCGGACGGCATTTACAGGGGCTGCAAAGTTTTCTTGGGTTCGTTAATTACGTCCGACGTTTTATCCCCAATATGGCAGGGATAACCGAACCGTTAACTGACCTATTGCGGAAGGGCACCACGTTCGAGTAGGGGGAGAGACAGCAGACTGCTTTCGACGACCTCAGAAATTTTCTGATGTCTCCCCCGGTTCTCCGAATCGCTGACCCATCTCGACCGTTCGAAGTCTTGACGGACGCTAGCGATTTTGCTATCGGTGCGATACTGTTACAGGATTTCGGCGAAGGACTCCAACAAATCGCGTACTAGTCCCGGAAGTTGCAGGCAGCAGAACGCAACTACCCCGTCCACGACAAGGAAATGCTCGCCATCGTGCACGCGTTCAAAGTATGGCGCTGCTATCTGACAGGGGCTGACGTGTGAGTACGGACAGACCACAAATCCCTACAGTACCTCCGCGCGCAGCCGAACCTCAATCCAAGGATGATTCGCTGGCTGGACTTCCTCGAAAGCAACTTCCACTACACCTTCACGTACAAACAAGGGGCAAATAACATCGCCGATGCGCTGACAAGACCGTCCGCCCACCTCGCCTCCATCATCGTCGCAAAATCCAACCCGCTGCTCACTGGCCTATTTACCCACGGCTACACCTCAGACGCATTTTTCACCCGCAAACTCCATCAGCAAGCCACTACGGCCAAAGGACCCTACTTCCTAAAAGCCGGTACTGACCGTATCTGGGTTCCCGCCTACAGACTCCTCCACGAATTACATATTCAAGAAGTCCATATCTGGGTTCACCGTTTTTATTACTGGCCTGATTTAGTGTCTGATGTGCTGAGATACGTTTCAGCGTGCCCGACCTGCCAACGCATGAAATCTTTTCGACAGAGGCCAGTTGGACTACTCCAACCGCTCGAGCCACCCCAGCGACCGTGGCAACACGTGACGATGGAATTCGTTACAGGGTTCCCAGCCGGTCCGACTGGCAACGATGCCGTCCTCGTCGTCGTCGACCGACTGACAAAGATGGTGCACTTCGCACCCTGTCGCACAACCATGATAGCCGAAGACACAGCACAACTTTTCATCACCACCGTTGTTCGACTGCACGGCCTGCCATCAGCGATCATCAGCGACCGCGACCCAAAGTTCACGTCCAAATTCTGGCAAGAGACATGGGCACAGTACGGCACCCGACTCCAATTTTCATCAGCCTACCATCCTCAAACCGACGGCCAAACGGAGCGAACCAATCAAACAATGGAGCAGCTGATACGCACCAACTGCCCAGATCCTTCCCGATGGGAGGAATCCCTGCCCATGCTGGAATTTTCCTACAACAACGCCCCATCCGCTACGACTAATCACTCGCCGTTCTTCCTCAACTACGGGATGGATCCAACGGTACCGACGACAACCAACATCGACAACCCCGTGCCACGGTCCCAACAGTTCGTGACCGGTTTACAAGTTGCCCGGGAAAAAGCGATCGAATTCATTCGCAAGTCCAACACAACCGCTCGACACTATACAGACCTTCATCAAAGAGATATCACGATGGCCGATGGGCAACTAGTCATTCTCGACACGAAGAACCTTCGCCTGCCCCTGCCTTCAAAACTCCGACCACAATTCTGTGGGCCTTTCCGTATTCTCAAAATGGTGACACCTGTAACGGGGAAGTTATTACTTCCGGACGAATAGCACATTCACGACGCCTTCCACGTCAGCCTGCTTCGTCCCTACATCGCCAGCACGTCCGCAGTCGCACGACCAGCGGCCGCCCCAAGTGTCCGCCCGATGGCAGAACCGACCTTTGAGCCTTTCCAGCTTTTGAGTCATCGCGTCCGCCTCGATACAACAGGACGACACGTGGATTTCCTTGTTCGCTGGGTCGATCGTACAAGTGAAGACGACACGTGGGTCACTTCCGACTCGCTTCAGGAACACTCGGTGCTCAAATCTTATTTGACCCGGAAAGGCGTTCCCGATGTTGATCACCTTCCTTAAGAGGGGGGGTAGTGTAAGGAATTTTATTCCTTACCGGGTTGTACTGCAATCGCGTACACCTGAACTCTCGGAAGACCAGGCTCGGTCCGTTTCCGACGCGACCCCGAGGCGAGCCCGCGCCGCCTCCGATCCTTTCGACCGCGCCTTTACCCAACCAAGCCCTCCGGGCTCGTCACCTAGCTAGATTCCTCGCTATATATTGCTAGGCTAGCCTTCTTGTACTCGTCATTATTACTCCGCGCACTCTGAGTTATTATTCATAACAGCATTGCATTTGGCTTGGCAGCTCAGGTAACTCAATTTACTGACGCGAGAGAGTTTCTGGTTCGCATTACGACTCAGACCTAGGCAATACTAGTGTTCCGCGAATATTGTTTCGTGAGCAATGATATGGGTCTGGCTGTTTACCCGAGCAACAGGAGATTGCACCCTGGTTGGCGAGGTCAATGCAGTCGTGGGCGACGGTGACTGTTACTATGCTCGCAGGAGAGCATCGTAACATATACTGTCGCAAAAAGTTCCAGTAGGTCGACGCGCATTCTCTCATATACTCACACTCATACGCATCCAGCTCCGCTCTTTTATAGCACGCACCGCTCATACTCTGCATAGCACGCACGCGTCGCACTCATTGCATGCACACATCAAATGGAAATTCGTGCAATTTGACATCCCACGCGCTTTCGACGGCCACGACCCTTACATTTCGCCCCTCATCACCCACCAACCGAATTTCCTCCGACCTTTCTAGCACAATTCGCCCCTTGCTGAGCTGACACTAGTCCAGCACCCGAGACGGGTCACGGGAATGCAAAACCCATAATAAAGGCATCCACCTCCTTTCCCTAACAGCTCTCGGATTCGGCGTCTCGCTTCGCTCCTCGTCGTACCATCAGCGTCGCATGCTAGTTGAAACCTATGATCGCGCTACCTTATGGCTGCAGAAGCCAGCTCCAAGAGCGACAGAGCGTCTTCCATTCGGAAAGTCAGCTTCAACAAACCTGGCACGTCCTCCTTCCCCAGCAACGTGGCAATCAACAGTCTCGACCCGCGCGAAATTCTAACGGATTTCCTTCCTACTGGCAACCGCACGCCGATGTCGTTTCTTCGCTCCGCGCGATGCACGGCGGCTGAGGTGCTCTGCACGTCCGCGCACATTGTCCGCGTGCTCAGCTCCCTCCTCCTCCTCTTCCGCGCGCTTGCTGCTCTCGCCGCCTGCAAACTCGCCTTAGCGTTCCTCCTTCCGCCCCTCCGCATTGCCCGGCGAATCGTGAGATTCGTGTGCTTCATCGAGACTTGGCTCTCTAAAGTCGTACGTGGTATTGAGACGTACAGTAAGGTTCATATGTCAGAGCAGAGGGACGAAAATACGCTGAATGCGATTTGTGCAGGGGCTAGCGGGAGCGGTGAGCAACTGGGCGGCAAAGAATGGGCGGCATGGGATCAGTTCAGGTTGTCGTCGTCGTCGCTAGGCGACAAATGCTCGCCGGGTCGGCTGTGGGACGAGGAGAACATGAAGAGATGGGTGGAGGAGGCGAGAGCCGTGGCGATGATCGCCACTGCAGTTGGTGAAGAGGACCTTGTAACAAAAAAGGATGGTGATAGTCTCAGATGGAGTAAGAAGACTGTCGCAGCGGTTAGGCCTGGCGAGCCAGACGCACTGGAGAGCGACGCCTTGCGACGCCAGCTCCAACAGGCGCAAGCGACGTGCGACGACCTGCGACAAGAGCTGGAGCAAGAGTGGGTTTTGAGCGACAGTCTGCGACGGGAGCTGGAGCAGGAGCGTGCGGCGGCGGACAGCGCTGCGATGGCGAGCATGGAGTCGATCCGACGGCTGCAAGACGACAAAGCTGCCAACCAGCTAGCCGCCCGGCAGAGAGAGAGGATTTTAGTGGAGAAAGCGCGGTATGAGGAGGAGGAGGTGGAGGGTTTAAGGGCGGAGGTGGAGAGGCAAGGCGAAGAGATCCTACTTCTGCGCGAACAGGTCACCGCTTTCGCCATTTTCCGTGAGGTTACCACTGCGACGGAAGACGGTTGTGCGGAGACAGGGGGTTATTGCAGCGAGGGTGTGGAAGAAGAGGATGCGAGGAGTATAGTGGAGTTCACTGTCGTAGGCAGAGACGGGGCAGAAGGTCGAGGAGGGGAAGAGGGTAAGGAAGGGAGAGATAAGGTGCCCGATGGAGAAGGAGGGGATGAGGAGGGATCGGAGAAAGGGGCGCGCATTCACAACGTTAGCGAGGAGGAGGACGGGCTTCGCAACGGTAGTGACAGCGTTGAGTGTGACAACGTCCAGTGTGACAGTGCGAGGAAAGAGGAGGAAGAAGCGCCACAATGGGGCAAGAAAGGAGGGTATTCTCTTATGAAGCAGTGGCAGGGTGGGCTGGAGTGGGGGACAGTCCCAGGAGAAGCAGCGGCACTGCACCAGCTATTGGCGTTTCCACAGGAAATAGACCAACTGTGCACGTCTTCACGGGAAACGAGTGCACTCTTAGCGGAGTTACTCGAAGCTCCGCTGGGCGTGGCAGGCGACGCTGTCTCCCTGTCGCACGCTCTTCGCAGTCTTCTCACGCCCTTCCTCCCCGCAGCCCACGCTGCAGATGCCGGTCTGCTGGGCCCTGCTGCCCTGCTTGCCCCTGCTGCCCTGCTTGCCCCTGCTGCTACTGCTGGCCTTGGTGCTGCAACTGGTGCTGCTGATTGTGCTGCTGGTTGCGGTGCTGCTGGTTGTGCTGGTACGTTGACTGGGGTTGCTGACAGTCGTGGAAACCCACAGAAGGTGGGAGAGGGATGTTTAGAGAGTGCTACCAGTATTACAAGCTGAGGTGGGTGAGCTGGCCCTTTCCTCAAGGGTGGCTGTTTAGGTAGGGTATTACCCATAGGCATTGTAGACATTGCCACCTCTAGTCCTTCAACAGGTATATTCCATCAATTGTGGCTGCTTAGTTAGTGCCACATAATACGTTTTATGCAAGTGCAGACTTATAATCAGACAAACCATGCTCCTGTCATTTTTATGAGTAAAGTGAACACCGTCGCAGCAAGAGCTTGCGGCAACTTCAATCCGGCCTTAGCTGCGAGCTTGCTGGCGATGGACACGAGGAAGGGCACGAGGGAGAAGATGAGGAGCAGGTTGACGCACACGCGGGCAGCAATGGTGCGCGCGAAGTGTTGCACGAGCCGTCCAAACTCTTCCCTGTCGAGCACGCCGTCGTGGTTGATATCGTACTCCTGCGGCGGGAAAGGGGTTGCGATGGGAATAACAATGTGCGAAGCAGTGGAAGACATGGCATGAGTGGATGTGACGCGGAGAGCGAGGAGGCAAGGAGGGACAGGGGCAGGAAAGGCGGAGGAAGAACTAACTTTGGAGGGTGACAGGCTGTCTGACGCAGAACAGACTGGGTAGCGCAACTCTCACTCTATACAAGCTACACTATCAGTACCTGTACAAGCTGCACGACTTGTTTCTTTGTGGGCGGGCTGACGTGCATCCCTGGAACGAGCTGATTCACGTTGCTGTTGGGCCAAAGCGGCAAAGAGGGAGGAAATGTACTCGTTGAAAATCAGCAAAATCAGGAAAAAAACCCGGAAATCTGAGGGGCTGGCTGGGAGAGAAGGGCAATCGACTGAAGCACTACCGGCACTGGCTCACTCGAAGACCAGCAGCACGCCCGTGTACAGCTCCGGCACGTTGATCACCTGCCGGCCGTCCTGCCCGGGTGTCGCGTCCAGCTCCGACAGCTCCGTGAACGCGCGGTCGATGCCGCGATGCACCACGTTCCCTGTAGGGGGAAGGGGGGGAGGAGGGGGAGGAGGGGGGAGGGGGAGGGGGGGGGTGGGGAGGAGGGGGTGGGGGGGGGGGGGCGTTGGGAGGGGTGTCTTGGGGGGAGGGGGGAGTGGGGAGGGGGGTGTTGGATGGGAGGTGTGCGGGTGAATTGGCGGGGGATAACCTGATGCCCCAGGGGGGTGTTGGAGAGGCATCAGGGGGGGATAACCTGATGCCTCTCGCAGAAAAGTGTGGGCGGCCAAATATGTCTGAACAAGCATTTTTCAAGATTCTAAAAAATGACTCCACTATAGCCCAAAATGCGCAAAGAAGCCCCCCCTCCTCCAGCTCCTCCTCCTTCAGCACCCCCCTCCCCCCCCCCTTCTTCCTTCAGCCTCCCCCCCCGCTCCTCACATGATGCCGTCACCGCGAGTCCGCGCGCTCTGCGGCGTCCCTCACGCCGCGCCACACGGCCACCCAGACATTTTAAATCGGAAGCCTCGTGCTTTACGAAGAGTCCTGCCCGTGGCGCCAAAGCAGCAGAGCCTTCCATTCTTGGCGCGAACGACCTACACGCAGCGCCTGCACGCCCTAAACTCGTACATCTCCAAATGGACATGGGCGTGGGCAACACTCGTGACGTTAGCCGCACTGCTGTTTCTGGAGTGCCCAAATGGGCTTTCTGTGAAATTTCGTTGCTGAAAGAGCATCCAGTTCAGGGATGTTGCTGTAGACACGAATTACCTCACAAACGGATGGAAGAGAGCGCGTGTAGGGATGGAAACTGGACAGCAGCACGGAAATGTGAGGGGGGGAAGGAGATAGGTGAGAGGGAGGTGAGGGAGGTGAGAGGGAGGTGAGAGGGAGAGAGGGTGCTGGCTCCTTGCTTGACGGAATTTGAGCAAGCCGCGAGTGGGCGATCAGTTGCACATTTGGGAAGGAGCACATGCCGGCCACGTGGCAATCATCCAGATTGTTTGGGCTCGGAACCTTGATCTCAACCCTCAAGCTACGATTCGGCAGCGGCGCCAGAAAACGGGCACATTTCGCTGAGAGCCGCTGGCGATGTTCGTCACTGGGACGTGCGAAGAAACCGCATCGAGTATTTCACTTCCCGATTCTTGTCTGCTTTGAGCCACTATTCTAATATGAGAACTGGAAAAACAATTATACTCAATTTACGATATGCTGCTCCACTTGCTATTTACATCACATGTTTCCCTTCCTTTCTGACTTGCGCATCACATCCATCCTGTAAAATTTCCAAGAGCCCAGCCCCACAATAACATATAGGGTACTCATTAGCACAATAGGGAGATCGACGGAGCCGTTGAGTAAATGAATCAAACGGCAGCCAACAAAAAACGGAAGAACTCACCCCCAGTTTAATCGCTGTCGCTTCTTGTGTCGCATCAAATCCTGTTCCTGTACAGAAGCGCAATGTGACAGCAAAAAATGAACCAGAAAACTGCTGGCACTTGCTTCTCTCTGAAGACGTACTTCGACCATTTCCCTCTTACTACGCTTCCTCTGCCCTATGCCGCTCTGCTCACCTCCAGGCTAGCAGCAAGCTGCACGTGCCACTCTGCCTGTCTCTGCCTGCGCATGTGCTCTCGCCTCATGAGGGCGTCGTTCAGCCGCTGCGCCGCGGCATGGTCGCCCTGCCGTAGGGCTGCCTCCAACCTGCGGTCGAGATCTGTCTGAGACCAAAAAAATCGAGAGAAGAGAAGGGAGTGGTGGTGGGAAGGGCGGGAGCGCGGCATTACCAGGACAGGTTGGCGTGGCGGACTTAGGATTGGCGTTTTGAGAATCTACACCGAAGCCGGAATACGCTGACGTGGAAGCAGTGAGATCGGCTGACATGGCACAACCGGCAGGGTGACATGGCGGAATTTATGCAAAGAAACATGTACCACGTTGCACTGAGCCCCCCACTGTACGTTGCAAAGAAACATTGTACGTGATATTCTTTTTTGTGCAGACCCGCCAGCAGCAAACCGACCGCACCAGAGCATACCCACTCTATGGAGCTTACCTCTCTTCCCAGCGTGCCATGAGGCGTGCCTTCAAACCGCCCCACGCTTGCGCTTATGCCTATGCTTCCGCGCATCGCCTCAGCTACCGCCGATGGCAGTTTGCCCTCTCCTCCGCCTCTCACTGCTTGCGCCCCTTGCAGACCCAACCCCACCCCCTGCGCCTCACAGCACCGCTCCGCACCCCCCTGGCCCCTCCTCCACCTCACCTCCGGGACCTCACTCTCTCGCGCCATGCTGCTGCCCCCACCCGAATCAAATCCGCCACGATCTGCACACACACCTCCCCTCCCGTGCTCTGCGCCTGACCTGCTCTTCTCACTGCAGCCTTCCCCAGTACCGCCCTCCCCTGCTCTTCCCTCCCTTGCTCTGTCATCCCCTGCAACCTCCCCCCATGGCTCCGCCAGATGCATGCGCGGCCTCATGCCCTTCCTAGTTGCCGGGTCTGCAGGCGCCCTTGGGATTGCCGGGTCTGCAGGTTCAGCCCTGGGCTTCGAATTGGCACCCTTCGCTCCCGCGAGACTCCGCCGGAGCCGCGACAGGTCCTAGGCGGAAAGACAGTGATGGTCGGGATGCAATCGAATCGTTCCAGGGGTGGGGTGGATGGGTCGACGAAAAAGGTAGCGAAAAAGGGCAGGGCGCGGGTGAAAGGGAGAGAAGGTGGGGACATGGCGTGGATGGGTGGACTGATTGGGAATGAGAAGGCCGGTTCGCGGAGAAAGGGATCGGCTAGGGAGTCTGAATAGGGAATCTGAATAGGGAATCTGAATAGGGAATCTGAATAGGGAATCTGAGGAAATGAGTTGGTCAGATGGAGCTACTGCTGTGACGCGCACCTGTAATTTCTCGAGCTGCTGTGCTCTGGTCCGACCAACCCTACCGCTGCTGCTATTGTCGCCTGCCATTGCCGACGCTTGCCGTGTCAATCGGGAGTGGGGATGGACGGCTGAGAAACGTCGAAGAGGAAGCTAACGAGACTGATGATCAGGATAGATCATAAGGCGGTCTGACGAGCAGATCAACCAAATGGAATGCTGCAGCAATCAGCAATCCGAGTTTGATTTCAGCTTGACTGAGACTCGGTATAGGTACACTCGGTTTAAACTTAACCGCCTTGTACCATAACAGAACGCAGGAACTTATCTTATCACTTCACATACAATCTGTACTAACAGCATGTGTGTTGCGACGCAACAAAGCAGCTGCCGCAGCCAATACAGATGAATTCATTTGGGTTTTTGAAAGCTGAGGTACTGAAAGAGGCGACTTGCGGGGCGAGAAACCTCCTGCTTGCAATTAAGGAAAACGAACAAATCGTCAAGAGCCTCGTTGAACTCGCCCACTTGCTCCTCCACCTGGATGGTGGGCCGCACCCAGCGCAAGCACACACAAGGAAATACCGGGTAAGAATTGAACTCGCCCTCCAGGAAAGGAAGGCCAACAAATCGACCAAAGAATCGTTGAACTCGCCCACATGCTCTGACACCTGCACCATACACAATACTCAGCACGAGCACAACCCACGAATCACCAGCTCAGCATTACCTCGGCACAAGACCATGGTGAAGCAAACAGGGCTGGCGGTGCATAGTACCATACAAGGCACGGAACAGTCGATACCATAGAGAAAAGAGTAAAGGAGTGTTCTAGAACAGGGGTCGTCGCTAGAATAACCACCTCATCCCAGGAAGCATCGTCGTCAAGGAAGAACTCAGAGAGCGGGGCAGCCATGGGAGTAGAGTCGATGCTGCGATGCACGTCCAGGACGAGCTGCAGCAAACTGTCCAGTCGCTCTCTGATTGGTGCATTTACTGCATCCAACAGGCACCCGCACGCCACGTGGCAATATTGGGGTATTGAATTGCTCTGATCGCTCTGAGGAACAGAAGTGTGCTTTCAGCAAGCACCTGGCATGGTGGCATGAAGCACGGTGGTTGTAACACAGAGTGGTAACCATGCATTAGGTGGAGAATGGGATGTGCAGCTCGCACCTGGTTCAGCAGTAGAGCAGGAATTGTGTGTGCGCTTCCTGGAAAGAGAGCAAGTCCTGCACCAACGGAAGGGCAAGGAAGGTTGCAAAGCGGAAGGTTGGGAATAGAGGCAAGCGTGAGTAGGTAAGGGTTCTGCTTTGGGCTGATCAGGCACTATCGTAATGCACGACAATCGCCCTGTGGGATGTCTGGATGACCCACCTGGGGTTGCTTGTGTTTTGAGGGTGGGGTTTGGGGCGAGATCAGCAGTAGCTTGTCCGCCAGTAGCGCTGCTCCATGCACCTGTGGGTGTGTGCTCATGCCAGCACTCACCTGTGGGTGCTCATGCTTTTGGGACCTGTGGGACACAGCAGCAGCATCTTGTCGGCCAGCAGCGCCGCTCGCTGCAGCTGAGTGCTCATGAAGGCGAGGGTGCCAGACACCACGTGAGATGCGCGGATGCTGTGGGGGTGAGGGATGGGGCGGGAGGGCAGATACAATTGTATTGTGCGTGAATGGGGTGTTGGGCTGCCAGCAGCGCTGCTCGCTGCTGCTGAGCGCTGCTCGCTGCTGCTGAGCGCTCCTGAAGGCGAGCATGCCGGACACCAGATGAGACGCCCCGGATGCTGGAAGGGGGGGGATGGGGAGGGAGGGCAGATATAGGGTGTGGTGTGTGGATGGGGTGTTGGGCTGCCAGCACCGCTGCATGCTGCTGATGAGCACTCCTGAATGCGAGAGTGCTGGTGAGACGCGCGGTTGCTGGGGAGGAGAGGGATGGGGCGGGAAGGCGGATATAGGGTGTGGTGTGTGGATGGGAAACACCCTTTCATACGAACAGCCTAGCTACAAACACCCAAACATACGAACGGCCAAACATAAGAACGGCCTAACATACAAACACCCTAACATATGAACGCCCTAATGTACGAACGCCCTAACATATGAACGGCCTAACACACGAACGGCCTAACATACAAACGCCCTAACATACAAACACCCTAGCATGTGAACACCCTAACATACGAACGGCCTAACATACGAACGTCCTAACATACAAACCCCCTAACATATGAACGCCCTAACATACGAACGCCCTAACATACGAATGGCCTAACATACGAACGGAAAAGCCCAAAAATACGAAAACATTCAAACACATTTGAAAATTTTAAAAAACATAGGAAAACATTCGAACGCCGCCCTAATATACGAACGCCATAACATACAAATGCAAAAACATACGAACGCCCTAACATACGAATGCCATAACATGCAAACACTCTAACATACGAACGCCCTAACATACGAAGGCCCTATTATGCGAATGCCCTTTAACCTTAACTGGACGTCAGCCAACCTTACTTGGACACCAACCAGCCTTAGCTGGACGCCAGCCAACCTAAGTTGGACGCCAGCCAACCTTAGTTGGACGCCAGTCAACCTTAGCTGGACGCCAGCCATGCTTAGCTGGACGCCAGCCAAGCTTAGCTGGACGCCAGCCACGCTTAGTTGGACACCAGCCCCCCTTAGTTGGACGCCAGCCACCCTTAGCTGGACGCCAGCCACCCTTAGCTGGACGCCAGCCACGCTTAGCTGGACGCTAGCCTACCCTTAGTTGGACGCCAACCACCCTTAGCTGGACGCCACCCACCCTTAGCTGGACGCCAGCCATGCTTAGCCGGACGCCAGCCACCCCCAGCTGGACGCCAGCCACGGTTAGCTGGACGCCAGCCAACCTTAGCTGGACGCCAGCCACCCTTAGGTGAACGAGTCTAGATTGACGATTATGCCAGTCTAGCGAGGCAAGAAGCACAAACAAGCCGTGGGATGCAGCAAATTTGAAGGGACTCACGTGAAGACATTGAGGAAGCATAGCCGGCGATGCTGATCCTTGTGCAGTGTCCTGCCTGCCACCGCTGGTGCTGCTGCTGTCACTGGTGCTGGTGGTTGAAAGAGAGCCGAACAAAGGGTCTGAGAGGGAGGAATGGGGTAGGTATGTGGATGCATTGGCATTGGTAGTGCATGATGCAGTAACGCATGATGTGGTAGCGCATGACACTGAGTACAATGCATGATGACATGCAGTGAAACATGTGTCCATATGTCATCAATATGCCCTTAAGCCTGCACTACCTGGCACACCCTGCATCATGTGGCTCACTTTGACATGAATGGTGACACTTCTCACCCACTGCTCTTTGCACGTGGTGCACTCTAATCAACATGGTACTGTATCACCTCACTGGCAGGCCAGCCCCTGCTCACCTCGACGTGAATGGCGATGCTGCTCACTGCCCTCTGCATGTGGGGCATTCTTACTAATGCTGTGAGACCCCTATACTACTGTACCACTTCTGGCATTATCACCGCATTCACACGTACATCAACACCACCTCCGCCAGGCCGTAATCACCTTGACATGAATGGCGATGCTCCCCACCGCCCTTTGCACGTGGTGCAGTCTCATCAACGCCGTCAGTGTATCCCCATATTGCGCCACCACTTCAGGCGTTATCACCGCATGGGCAGGCCAGCCCAGGTCGTAGCCTACGCGTACAAAGTCAAACGCGCCCAAGCCATGGCGGTGAGGGGAGACGAGACGAGAGGGATGATAGTCTATATGGTGTGTCTTTATGCAATCGCCACACATGGTGGGACTAGCCCACGCCTGCGATAGTGAGAGGAGAGGGGGGACCCTGCTCCAACTACCACATTCTTTAGTCGACTCAAAAAAACTTTGAAGTTTGAGTCGACTCAAGAGGAGAGGGAGGACCCTGCTCCAACTACCACGAAGGTACAGCAACAAGAGAGCTGGCTCCCTGCTCACGGTGGGCAGCCAGATGGGTCCAGATCAACCTCTTGCTGGCAGTGCCCATTCCCAGGTCTCCCGTCTCTCTTAAAATGATTCATTATAGATATAGTCATCTGTCAGCAAGAGCGGAACTCATGGTGGACTGACAACGGGCTCCACGTCAGCCTGTTCCTAGCATTGCCCAGTCCTAGGCCTCCCAACTCTCATGGAATGATTCATTACAGATGCACTCTATGTGTCATCATGAGAGACACTCACAGTGGGCAGATAGCGGGCTCCACGTCAGCCTCTTGCTGACACTGCCCACTCCCGGCGCTCCTGGCCCTGCTGATGCTGGGTGAGCGGGCGACGGTGATAAGGAGGAGCGGGAGGAGGCGAGGGAGGAGGGTGCGATGAAGGCATGGAGGGGGGATGGGGAGGAGGAGAAGGTGGAGGTGGAGGAGGCGAGGGACGAGAAGAGGAGAGGCAGCTTCAGGAGATGGCAGAATCAAGGGCGGCGGAGAGCGTATGCTGCTGCTCTGTGAGCATGCGCAGGCTGGCCCAGTTCTGTGGTGGGGCGGGTGTGGGGTGGTGGGGAAGGGGAGAGGGATGGAAGGAGCAGTGCACTCATAAGCATGTTGGCAAAGTAAGGGGCGGAGCAGAGCGCGTGCTGCTGCTTTGGTAGCGTACGCAGGCATGCCCAGTTCTGTGATGGGGGATGGGAGAGGGAGAAGGGATGGAAGGACCAGCACACACGTAAGCAAGACGGCAGTGTCAAGAGCAGGGTAGGGAGAGAGTAGATAAAATCCTGCTGCTCTCGTTGGGTGCGTAGGCTGGCCCAAATCTGTAGTGGGGCAAGGAGAGGGGAGAAGGGAGAGGGAATGGAAGCAGCAGGAAGCAACCAAGGGAAATGGAAAAACACGTGGTTCTGCTCAGGGAGTGTGCGCATAGGCTGGCCCAATGTCCTGGGAAAGCGTAGTGTCCCGAGAAAGCATAGTGCCCCGGGAAAGCATAGTGCCCCGGGAAAGCATAGTGCCCCGGGAAAGCATAGTGCCCCGGGAAAGCATAGTGCCCTGGGAAAGCATAGTGCCCTGGGAAAGCATAGTGCCCCGGGAAAGAATAGTGTTTGGGGAATGCATAGTGTCCCGGGAAAGCATAGTGTTCCGAGAAAGCATAGTGTCCCGGGAAAGCAAGCCGGTGCTGGATGGTCCCTCTGGTTCGGGCCACTCCAGCTAGGGTAAAATCGATGGACCAATC